ATACAAAATGATGAGAACTTCTTGAGCGTAGTGGAATCAGTGAGTAAAGGGTAAGATAGGACTTTTTTTTTTTAATCTCCTGGGGTGGGAAGATTGGGGTACAACTGTATTTATAAGTAGAAAATGATTTCAAAGCAAGAGTAAATTCAATGGATCATTTGGACAGTAACGAGTTAAGAACAGTCTGATTCACTAGTTGGAATAAACACATGAAGTCTTGAGCAGTTCCAATGACAAAAATCAATCACATTGTCTACTTGTACAAACTAGTTGGGTTCATTGGCTAAATTAATTTAGGGAGCCATATAACATGTTTGTGAAAGAAGACTTTTTTGATATGGTGAAAAACCTGACATACACAGTATAATCAGATGCAGGTATTATTTGAAGGAAGTGTGATATGTCTGTAAAATATAATAGTGGTACATCTTTCTTTGCATTAAATTTTCTTACTATTAAATGACCACGATTCATGCTGATTCTGTTTTATATTACTTTCACCATAACCACATTCCACATTGCCTTATAAATAAGTAGCAATTTTAAGCTCAATCAAAAAAGTTAGGTAGAGAATAATGTACATTGGTTAATTTTGGAGCTGAGCTGACTGAACTCATTGATTGCTTCTTCCAAATGATAAATAATTATGAAGACACAAACAGATGCAGAATATACAGTAAGATTTTCCCAATAACATTAGATCCAAAGAATTCTTGAAAAACTTAAAGCATAATCATATATAGAGCATAATATTTGATTAGCTTATACACTTATAGACGATAGATAAAGGTAAACTTTATGTCATATCTCTTCTCCAACATTTAGAATATTTAAATGAGGAATATTTAGAGCTAGATGGGAGAAGAAGAGGCTTTGTCATGGGAGAAAGTCTCATATGTGCATTTCTCTTCAGGTTTAATTGTGGATTTCCACCAAATACTCCTAGTTGGCATAGCAGGTATGGTGGAATAATGGAATACCCATTATTCCAGCATCATGAGACTATGCGTTCTGCCATACTGGGTTAGGTAAAGAGTCATAAAAGAGGGTCATAGAAACTTCAAGTGCCTCATGGAAGTTGGGAAAAAGTGGCGGAAGTAAGACTCTGAAGTAGTTAGGGAATAAATATAAACATTATTGTGTAGACAGCACGAACCCTGTAAAAGTGCAAATACAAGTAAGAAATCCAAAGAAAGAAAACTTGATTCATAACTGAAAACAGTTTAATATCTCAGAACCTAAACAAAAAAAAGCAAATTTTCTTTTAACAAGCATCTAATGAGCACCTACAATGGATCAGGCCCTCTGCTAGGCAATGGGGATTCAGTAGCGAAGAGATGTTGTCCCTTTTCTTGAGGAATCCTAATTTTTGAATGAGGATAGTCATAATACAGCAACTCATTAATGGAAAAGACAAGATCAGAAAGAGAATATGATTGATTCTGGAGAGTGAGAAAAACTTCAACAACTTCAGCAACAGATATGATGAATGTGATATATGTACTGAATCTGGAAACTTGATTATGATCAACCAGCTCATGGGAAGTTCTCCTGCCCTTAAATATGAATGTATCAAATTTTACTGAGCTGTGGGTCAACCTAGTCAACAGCCAGGACTAGTTACATGTGTAGATATCCGCAAACCTCGTTTATGTGCTGATTTTCTGAAAATCTTAAAATCATAGGAGGGGAGTGTTAACATTCCAGGGATTTAAAATAAGATTAAAGGATTTACTTATGGTATTCTTAAGCAAATAATCTGTGCCTTCTGTGTTTGTTTGCAAACGGCACCCTCCCCCAGGGAGGTATTTTCTTAAGTGTGCTGTGTTAACTTTTTTAACAATAACATGTACAAAAAAAAAAAATTGTATAGGAGCACTTATCTCTCGAGGAGAGGGCGGGTTGACAAACAAATGTACAAGGCATACACTATTTGGTAAAAATACAGGATTTCATAAGGAAGAATCTCAACAAAAATAAAATACACAAAATACAAATCATTCATATGTTATCAGTAGCATGATTTTCACCTTTGAATCTTATTTTACTAAGTGAAAATTAAAGTTCATTTCATTCAAACTTATGAATATCAGAGTTAACAAAATGGCAATAAATTATTTTTTGTTGTTGTTATTGTTTGTTTTAGACGATTTTATCATGTATTGAAAGCCAGAAAACTGTATTGGTGTTTTCATAAATTGCAACATTTATATACAAATAGGTGTGTGCACGTATGTATGTGTATATTTATCTATAATGAGGGATATATCATACATACAGAAGAGCATAAATAATTATTAAGTGAATATTTCAGTAACTACTATTCATGTTAAGGAGTCCCTTGGTGGTGAAACAGTTAACACATTAGACTGCTAATCGAAAGGTTGTAGGTTTGAGTCCACCCAGAAGCTTATCAGAAGAAAGATCTGGCAATCTACTTCTGAAAAATCAGTTACTGAAAATCCTATGGGGAACGGTTTTACTCTGACACACATGGGGTCACTATGAGTCAGAAATGACTTAATGGCAACTGGTTTTATCCAACTTAAACAAATAATATAGCTAGCACCTACGATTTCCCACAGATATAGAATTATTAAATTATGATTCAACTTCTGTAAGTTAAAAAAACTGACAAAATATATTGTTAAAGATATATATTGAATTGAATAAAGTTTTCATTTTTATATTTGAAATGTGGATGCTGAAGCTTGTTTTGCTACAGTATTTCAGTATTTATTATTTTAGGAATGTCTTAGAAATAATAAATTTTATTTTCTATAAGAATTATCTAAATGGGTAGTTCCGGCAAAACAGTGCTCTAGGCAGAAGCACCACACCGTCCCTCCACAGCAAAGATCCGAAAAACTAAGCCAAACAGAGAATAAAACAGTCCTGAAACCCTAAAACATGAAATGAAGAGATAAAGAACTCAGCCAAGCACCAAATGCACTGAGAAAACTGACAGAGAATGGAGAGCGAAGAGAGATTCATGCAGAGGTCCCCTACCAGCTGGTGCAGCATGGATCCGCCATCGTGGACTCCTGTCAGAGACTGGCGAATTGGGGTGCGAGTGGG